CTAGGCAGGAATATCATCACCCCTATTCAGCATGAGGAAGTTATAGAAGACGGACCTTCATCCTTCTGCAACCCCTAGGACTAAGGGTCTTGTAAAAGGAAAAGGGGAGATATATGGGAAGCATTCAAACCAGAGTGACTCTAGTAAGAATGATAGCTAGTAATGATTATACTAATAATGATACCTTCTCTTTTACAAAAAAGAGAAGTGGGGCATGTTGGGAAAAAAGCTGAGGGTTGGGAAGAAAGCTGAGGCAGGGCTTGCATGACTGACATGGCTTCTGGAATGTGTCTAGACTTGCTGGCTCCTTGCTTCTAGCCCTCCTAGGCTTCTATTCCCATTATCTCAAGTAGCAGAACATGTTCCATACAAAGGCTATACCGTCACAGCTGTAGATCATGTGCTTGCCCTTTTGACCCTCATGTTCTCACCACTTGTTTCTCTGTTGGATTACCAATAAATAGCATGGGCTTCCAGAGCTCAGCCTTCGCAGCCTCCATGATTGCAATGGCCCCTGGTCCCACTTCTCTCTCTCAAACTGTCTTTTCTCAATCCTTTGACTCCGCCAGACTTCATCACCCCCACGAGCTGGTATTGGGTCTGGCCACCCCAACAATATACCAATTCTGCCATTGAAAAACCTAAAAGCAGGCTGGGTGTGGTGGCTCACGCCTATAATCCCAGGACTTTGGGAGGCTGACGTGGGAGAATTTTTGATCCAAGATTGGTTGAATCCTTGGATGTGGAACCTGTGGATTCTGAGGATGGACTGTACTTCCTCTAAAATGAGGAGACTTGGGGAATCTTACATGTATTTCCTAAGGACATTGGCAGCAATTCTTAAAGCCTGTAGAAGAATCTTGCCTCTGTCATCTACATGGGCACCCCTGACCCTACTCACAGGCTAGAAACATGGCTACCAACATAATTTGATTTGAGGAGCATCACAAAGTCTGGGGTGTCCAATTTATTTCCCCTACAGTTCTGCTTTAGCACTCTTACTTGATCTGAAAAATCACGATTAAAGTCAGTTATTTGTTTCGTTTGTTTTTGTTTGTATGTTTTTTGTTTTCAGACAGTCTTCTCTGTCACCCAGGATGGAATGCAGTGGCACCATCTCGGCTCACTGCAACCTCTGCCTTCAGGTGTCAAATGATTCTTGTTCCTCAGCCTCTGGAGTACCTGGGATTACAGGTGCATGCCACCACACCTGGCTAATTTTTGTGATTTTAGTAAAGACAGGGTTTCACCATGTTGGCCAGGCTGGTCTCGAATTCCTGACCTCAAGTGATCCACCCCCCCCACCCCAACCACCCTTGGCCTCCCAAAGTGCTGGAATTACAGGTGTGAGTCATGGTGCCTAGCCTAAAGCCAGTATTTGAATTAGAAAAAACAAAAACACAAACAGAAAACCTGATTTTTCCCTAATTGATTATAAAAGGCCATTGTTAAAAGTGACCATCACCTGAAAAGACAAGGAAGGCTTGTGAGTATGTAAGTGGAGAAGAACAGAAACAGCTAACATTTTCTGAGTGTTATGTGCCAAGCCCAGTGCTGTGCATTTACATGAAATATCTTGTTAGTCACTGAAAGCAACTTTAGAAGTGGTCCACACTTCTCACACTTTAGTGTACATGAGTCATCTGTGAGACTTGTTAATAACACAGAATCCTCTACCTCATCATCGGGAATTCTGATTCAACAGGTGCTGTTGCTGATAGTGACTGTCAGAACATACTTAGGCGCACTAAAGTAGTTTTTATTATCATCCTCATTTTTTAGAGGCTCAGCAAGACCATGCAGGAGAAGGGTTCTGTGGTATAATATGAAATATATTTGGTCTTTGTTCCTGGTTCCTGTTACAGAGTTCGTAAAACTCTCGAAATTTCCTGAATGATAGAAATGTCTTTAGTTACTTATAATGAGCCCAGGTCCTAACACTTGAGTTTATGCTAATGAGGTGACTTAGGGTGGGCCCCTAGCTAGCCCAGACTAAGGCTGGTCATCAGAAAATTAAGAGGTTAGAAGATTAGAGGGTTGGAATTTACAGCCTCACCCACCAATCTCCAGAAAAGCAGAGGAGGTGGACATGAAGCTCTCTAAAAACGAGATTTTATGAACTTGGAGGCTTCGCAGTCCCCACTCCTCCCACCCCCACCCGGTACCCTCCTTTATGCATCTCTTCCATATGGCTATTCCTCAGTTAGATCCTTTATAATAAACTGGCAAACATAGTAAAGTGTTTCCCTGAGTTCTGTGAGCCATCTTGGAAAATTATGGAACACACAGAGAAAGCGTTGTGGGAACCCTAATTCATAGCTGGTTGGTCAGAAGTAGGGGGCACAACCTGGGACTTGCCATTGGCTTAAGTGGGGGTAGTCTTGTGTAATGGAGCCTTTAGCTTGTGGAATCTGACACTACTCCAGGTAAGTGGCATCAGGATTGAATTTAATTGAATTATAGGGCATCAAGTTGGTGTCCTCTGGAAAATTTCTTGTTATGTGGAGGAAAAAAATCCCACATATTTTGGTTGCTGAAGTGGAGTGTGTTGAGTATGAAGAGAGAGAAAAATAGTTTTGTATCCTCCTTTACAGGTCCCTTATTGCCCCTACACTGGTAGGTTACTTGATCAGCTAATTATCACCTTGAAAGACCAAGAGTTTTGTTAACAACTGTTGTGAAACCTCCATTCTGGTGTTTGTAGTTTAAGAGAATTTAAACAAGAGACAGGCAGCAAAGGAGATTCAGTACGGAAGGATTTATTGCAATGGAGAAAGAATATTCTGAGGGTTAGGTGCAGAATAGACAGTACACCCTGAAAGATGATTCAGAGAAGGCTTCTGGTGAGGATGAGACAAGGTTGACTGTTACTGGGGAAACTCCCTTTATGGGAGTCTTACATGATTTTTCATAAAGGGGTGAGAAGTGTCATTAGTAAGCATGTTCTGGATGGTCTTCTGGGTGCACATGTGCAGTAGCTTTACATGCTTGTTCATACATCTCATGTCTTATTAGCATCTTAAATCTCCATCCCGGGGTGTGTTTTTTACTGTTATAATGAGTAAAAGGGTCAGTCTGAGGACAGGTCAATCAAAAGGCTCATGCTCTCTACAGGGGACATTCTCCACTGGAGATAGTTTTGCTTGAATGAGCTTACTACAGTGCAAATGCTGGGGCTTCTTGTGTTGAAGGTTCGGTTGTCACAGCCACTGCTTTTAGAGGACATGGCTACTTCCTTTCCTACCTATCCTGCCTTTGTTTGGTCCCATGAGCCAGCATCCCCTGTCACACACTACAGATGGTAGAGTAGGGATGGTAGGTCATAAGTCCAGAATTCTAGCGAGACTGATGGAGGTTTGTGCTCGAGCCTCTGCCAACTAAAAATATTCACATTCTTCTAATTGTTTATAATATAATTAAATATTTCTTTTTATTTATTTTATAAAGATAGGGTCTCCCTGTGTTGTCCAAGCTGGTTTTGAACTTAGAACCTCAAACTATTCTCCTGCCTTGGCCTCCCAAAGTGCTGGGATTACAGGCATGAGCTGCCTGCCTGGTCAAACTTTCTTTTTAAAACTTCCTCTTTATGTTCTATATTCAGTTAGTTAGTTGCTGATTTCCAATGCAAAATGCCTCTTTTTCACTTCTACCATTTCAAGTCCATAGTAACTGTCCTTGATTAGTAAAATGGCCTTAACCTCTTGCTTTACTTCCTTTGAAATCCACTGTGCACATTCTTTAGAGTTCAAAAATCTTCAGGTATTTTCTATTACAAAAAAAAAAATTTCAAGAGCTCAGACTTCACTGAAATGAAATGTAGATTATTAAACACCATTGGTGACGTAAGTGAAAAAGTAATGGCAAGATCTGAATTCAAGTCAAGTATTATTGGAAAACTGAACGTGGCGGTTTTTATTTGCATATTACATATATTTTAATTTTTTTCAGCAGGTAGCCACTAATTAAAAAAAAAAAAATGAAAAGGGCACAATTCTTTGAAACCAGTATTTAAATAGTTGCCTACTTTAAGTAAATCAATTTCCAACGTTACAAAATAAACTTCAGGTACTTTTTTTTTTTCCCCCCTGAGACGGAGTCTCGCTCTGTCACCCAGGCTGGAGTGCAGTGGCAGGATCTCGGCTCACTGCAAGCTCCGCCTACCGGGTTCACGCCATTCTCTTGCCTCAGCCTCCCGAGTAGCTGGGACTACAGGCGCCCGCCACCACGCCTGGCTAATTTTTTGTATTTTAGAGGGGTTTCACTGTGTTAGCCAAGGTGGTCTCGAACTCCTGACCTCATGATCCACCCAGCTTGGCCTCCCAAAGTGCTAGGATTACAGGCCTGAGCCACTGCACCCGGCCAACTTCATGTACATTTTTATGGTTAGGTATTTGGCGTATGTGGGGGCTCCATAGCTTTCATCCGTTACTCAAAGCGCTTCGGGACCCTAAAAAGGCTCAGAACTGCTTCGATAAACAAGAAAGAATGCCGCAAGCAAAGGCAGCAGTTTCGCTGTAAAATCCTATTGTTGACATATAAGAGGGCCGTGTTGCCTCGCTACCAGCCTGTGGCGTTGTTGGGGCTCCGGAAGGGCGCGCGCGGCGCCTTTATCAGGGCGTGTGCGAGCGTTTATTTGGGAGGACACCACACGTGGACGCCTCAGCCGACCGTTCTCCTTCCCGGGGCCCTGCCCCGAGTCGCCGAGTAGCCGCAGAGTCGCCTCCGTCGCCCCGCCGCCCCTAGTGTTCCGGCCATGGCCGCGCGCCTCCTCCGAGGGTCCCTACGCTTCCTGGGCGGCCACTGTGCGGCGCGTCCGCTGCCCGCCCTGCGGTGAGTGGCAGCCGGGACTTCCGCGGCTGCCGGCCGGGAGGCTGTGGGGAGAGGCAGCGAGTCACTCCTGTCGCTGGCTTGAGGCGGGGCGGGGCACGCGGGGCGGGGCACGCGCGGCTGGGAGTGCTCCCCAACTCCGGCGCGGGGCTAGAGCTGGCCTGGTTTCCCGGATCCTGCGGACTGGGTGCAACCAGCTGCGGGGCGGAGGAAAAAGGGGTGTCAGCCGTGCGAGGCCACGTCGGGGAAAGCCGAAAGATTTCTCCAGAAGCTCATTCCGGAGCCCCATTCCAGCCCGTCTAGTTCAGCGGCCTGCAGTGGGACCCGAGAGCCTGCGTTTTGGGAGGAGGTGGTCACCCACTGGGCCTGGCTGCAGGAGCGCGGGCTGCGATCTATGTCCCAGTTCGAGCTATGAATCCGTCGTTCCCCACGGCTTAGTGAACTTGGGACCCGGACACAGTGCCCGGCCTGCGGCGCGGACCAGAAGTGTCCAGGGCAAGCTGGGATAGAAATGACTTGGCGAGGGTTCCGTCAAACAAGGAAATTAGGTTTAGATTTATCAGCACATCCTTTAAATACAGAGGATTAATGAAGAGAGAGTCTAAGGTCTGAGTGGCTCAGTGATTCTTAAGGTGGTGTTTATAATATGATCAAAAGTTTCAGATACCGTCTGAAACATAAAATCTATTCACTGGGTAAACAGATTGAAAGCATGGAGAATTCATTATTTAATAAGGGTGAAGGAACTGGCAAATTTGCGAATGACAGCATTGGTGTAAGGTACTCTAATTTTCTTTGAGAGCTATGAAACAAAATGCCTACTCTTCCTGGGGAGGTTTGGGAAGACTTCACTGAGAAGGTGATTTTTCTTTAGGATACATACTTAACTCTTACCTGGAACATTATAAGACAGTGATCCTCAAACTTTTGTTTGTTTGTTTTATTTTATTTTATTTTATTTATTTATTTTTGAGACGGAGTCTCACTCTGTCGCCCAGGCCGGAATGCAGTGGCACGATCTCCGCTCAGTGCTGCAACCTTTGCCTCCCGGGTTCAAGCGATTCTCCTGCCTTAGCTTTCCTGGGTAGCTGGGGCTATAGGCGCGTGCCACCAAGCCCTGCTAATTTTTGTATTTTTTTTAGTAGAGACGGGGATTTCACTATATTGACTAGGCTGGTCTCGAACTCCTGAGCTCGTGATCTGCCCGCCTCGGCCTCCCAAAGTGCTGCCTCAAACTTTTTAGTAACAGGACTCCTTATGCTCTTAAACTTAGAGGACCTCAAAGGACTTTTGTTTATGTAGGTTATATCTATCTTATGTCGTTATCAAAGGGTGTCTACAAAACTGAGAAACTTTACAAATATTTAGTTTGTTTAAAAGTTACAATATCTGACGAGTTGATGGGTGCAGCACACCAACATGGCACAAGTATACAGATGTAACAAACCTGCACGTTGTGCACATGTACCCTAGAACTTAAAGTATAATAATAACCCCCCCCAAAAAGTTACAATAATCTCATTACATATTAACATAAATAACAGTTTTTATGAAAAATAACTTTTCCTAAACAGAAAAAAAGTGAAAAGAGTGACATTGTTTTACATTTTTACAACTCCCTTAATGTCTGGCTTAGTAAAAGATAACCAGATAATTATATCTGCTTCTGTATTATCCATTGGCGTAAGTTTGATTGAAGCATGGCAAGAAAATCTACCCTCAAATAGAGAACACTGGAAAAAGGGAGACCTGAGAGACCCTCTGAATGGGCTGGGGGGCTTCAGTTTTGTTGTAACAGCTTTTTGACCTTTAATGTGCAAAGGAATCACTTGGAAATCTTGTTAAAATACAGCTTCTGATTCGGTGGGTCTGGGATGGGGCCTGAGATTGTGTCTTTAAAACCAGCTTCCAGGTGTGTGGAAGGTGCTGGTGGAGATTGTCCCCCTTTTAAAATGTAAAGGAGGCTTAAAAAAAATTATAGCCTAGCAAATAAGATTAGTTGCAGTTTATTGCCTTAGAGAAAAAAATGCCAATTTTTCCATTACAGATTTCTTCATCTTTAGATTAAGAAATACATGTTGCAATAAACTTGCTGCCACGTGTTTTGATTTTCTTCCCTCTGCATATTCTCTCCTGACCACCTTTGACTGACCTGAAAGTCTTTATTGTTTTGGCATTTCTTTTGCTTTCCTGTGTCTTAATGTATTTTACTTAAAAATATTGCAGATATTTCCTTAACACAGGATAGGCTATTCAATTTTAAGATCCAGTAAGACTCGGTTTTAAATTCTGGCTCTATTATTTACTTATTATGTTGATAAATGATTCGGTGTCTTACGGCCCCAGTTTCCTAATCTCAGCATAGTTTTTTCCTGAGGAAAACTCTCTAGTATGGAAAAATCTATATGGACAAATACGTGCTTTATAGTTTTATCTCTACTAGCAAGAAAAAGGAGTCGATCATTTCCAGTATAGGGATAAAGTAAATGTTAGTTTATTTAATGCAACAGGACAATGGTCAAGCTCCCCTGCATGTCTTGGTCCCCTGTTATCTCTTCTTCCTAGAATCTCTGACCTCATCTACTCTTCTCAGCCCACTCTGGCTACACTTGCCTTCTTGCTTTTTCTAGAACACATCCGACACGATTCAGACATACAACCTTTGCTCTAGTTGTTCTTTTATCCTAAAATTATTTGATTCTAGAGGTATGCCTGGCTAACTCTATCACCTTCAAGGGTTTGCTCAAATCTCACCTTTCTGGTTTGACCTACCCTGACTGCAGTATTTTTGTTTTGTTTTGTTTTGTTTTGTTTTGTTTTTAGTGACAGGGGCTCGCTATGTTGCCCAGACTGGTTTCAAACTCCTCAGCTCAAGCAATCCTCATGCCTCAGCCTCCCAAAGTGCTGGGATTACAGGTGTGAGCCACCAAGCCAAGCCTACTACATTATTTCATACAGCAACCTCTGTCTCTGCCTCCCCCCAGCCAGATACTCCTGATACCTTCTCTACTTTTCTTTTTCCATAATACTTATCACCTTCTATGGTATTATATAATTTGCTTATTTATTGTTTATTGTTTATTCAGTCTCCCTTTGTTAGAATGTAAGCTTAAAAGCCAAGATCTTTGTCCTCATCTTAGTCCTTTGTTCATTATTGTATCCTGAGTTACTAGAACAGTGCCTGGCACAGAATTGGCACTCAGTAAATATTTGCTAACTAAATGAATGAATAAGCCACTAAAAACATGATAATTAGGGAAACCTTAGAAATAGGTTGTAATAGCGACTGGGTGCAGTAGCTCATGCCTGTAGTCCCAGCCCTTTGGAGGCCAACATGGTGTATCACTTGAGATCAGGAATTCAAAAGCAACCTGGTCAACATGGTGAAACTCTATTAAACATGGTGAAACTCTACTAAAAATACAAAAATTGGCTGGGTGTGGTGGCAGCACCTGCAATCCCAGCTACTCCAGAGGCTGAGGTAGAAGAATGGCTTGAACCAGAAAGGCGAAGGTTGCAGTGAGCCAAGATTGTGCCACTGCATTCCAGCCTGGGCGACAGAGCCAGACTCCGTCTCATAAAAAAAAAAAAAGGAAAGAAACATGTAATAGTAGAGTTATTTTTTTTAAGAACGCTTTAAGTCTACTTTGATTAATTACATGAAATAGATCTTTTCTGGATAAGGACTAGAAAAGAAAAGGCAGGGTCCAACTAAGGAAGAAATACACTAAATCAGAATTTAATGCAAAATAGAAAAAGCATCCTTTGGCAAGATTTGAATATATGATAAGTTTTTTAGATGTGAACTTGAAAATGTACAAAATGATGCATAGATTTTCAAAATTTCTTTCAGGGGTACTTCAAGGAAAAAAAAGCTGAAGACCACTGAACTAAAGGAACTACAGAGCAGTCTCATTTTAAGCTCAGTGTGGGAGGGATGGGAGTAGGTCCTAAATAATTCCATTTTACAGAATCTTTATCAGAGATTGATGAGTATTTTTATCTCCACCCAGATTGTCTTTGTAATGTGGCAATTACATCAACACAGTTTGCATCTTATACACCTGCAATTTGAAATTGTGTGATTCTGGTTAAAATACTAATTTTGGAAGCTTTGCATTATTTTAAACATTGTACATGATATGAAAATTTATCAGTATTACTCTATTGTACTATTTGAACTTTACATAATGTAATCCATATGTCACATGACAATACTGCATTTCACCTCAAGTCAGACCTGTGGTTAGTTCTAGGCATCGTCTTCTTTAAGGATTTGGAGATGGAGACTGAGTTGAATACTGATAAGGTACTTCTTAATTCCAGCTATATGAGGTAGATCCCATCAAAAGTGGTGGCACTCAAATTTGAACCCAGGTTTGTCATAATTCAAACTCTCTACTCGCCTCTCAAGTTTCTCTGTGAAAGAAATCCATGTTGTTCAGTGGTATTAATTCGGATATGAAGAGTAACAATTCACTTACTTTTCCTACTGCATATATATTTTTTAAGATGTTCTCATTCTGGAGGGGAAGAACGTCTAGAAACTCCTTCTGCTAAAAACTTAACAGATATAGGAATTCGAAGAATCTTTTCTTCAGAGCATGACATTTTCCGGAAAAGTATAAGGAAGTTTTTCCAAGAAGAAGTGATTCCTCATCACTCAGAGTAAGTGGCACATTTTCCTCTAATGAAATGTATGCTAGGGGTGTGATAGGACCATTTCCTAGAATGCCATATATTACTATACAGAAAACATAGTATGTTCAGGGCTTTATTAACATTTTTACTGCTCTTCACTGTAACACTATAAGATCCCAGGATTCTTGCAGTTTTTAAAATGAATTGTAAAATGTACTATACACAAAAAAGAAAATTTAAAAATTTGCAACTTAGTCTAAGAGTAGTATTTTTGAAAACCATGGGTAACTGGCAACAAAATACTAGTCAATTTCTTAGTCTTTCTTTTTCTGCTTCATGAATTAATTAAACTGTAAAAACACAAAAAGTCAGCATAATGCAAACCTTGGTAAGAATTGGTTACCTCTGGATATTTCTTGATTAACTAATTACTATTATTTTATTGATCAGAAACTTATCATTTCTATTACAATAAGATTTTGCTTCATTTCCAAAATTCACTCAATGCCAGTACAGATGCTCCTGAATTTAGTAGGGGTTACAAGTTGAAAATATCATAAGTCAAAAATGCATTGTTATTATGTTAACACTGTTCTTATGTTATAAAAACAAACAAATCTCAGCACAGTTATATTAGAAGCAGAAATTAGAAGATTAGTAAAAATGAAGAGAGAAATGGTTCAGGAACATCATAGGTTTGTGAGGTTTTATACACCTAGCCTACTACACGCGATAGTTTAGGCCAGCCTACATTAAACATGCTCAGAACAATTACATAAGCCTACAGTTAGGCAAAATCATCTAACACAATGTCCACGTTGTAATAAAGTATTAAATAACTCATGTAGTGTATTAAATATTCTAATGAAAGTGAAAAACAAAACGGTTATATGGATACTTGAAGTAAGCATGTTTTCAACTGAATGTGTATTGCTTTTTCACCGTCATAAGTAAAAAAATTGTAAGTTGAACTGTCATAAGTCAGAGACATCTGTATTTTACAACATTTAGAATGGTTTTTAAATAGCATTAAAAGTAACTTCCATTAGGTTTTTACTAATACCTTCTTGGTAAGAATGACCAAAATAAGCTAAACTCAGAAGCCGGAAGCCATAACTAGTCTTTGGTGAAAAGCGACTAGCTTCTGTTTTGGGGGGTTTTGTTTGTTTGTGTGTTTGTTTTTTAAGACATGGTCTCACTCTCTTGCCGAGGCTGGGGTGCAGGGACGTGATCATAGCTCACTGCAGCCTTGAACTTCTGGGCTCAAGCAATCCTGCCTCAGCCTCCCAAAGTGCTGGGATTACAGGTGTGAATCACTGCATCAGGCTTCAACTAGCTTCTTATAGACAAGAGAGACATGGTACACTTTGCTCTGGTACAATCTCTTTTGTTTATTTCTTCACTGCTTTTAAATTTTGTTCCAGAAAAAATCTTGAGAAGGCTTTGAAATAAAATAACAGGAGCTGACAAATTTTAAGTCAATAATAAAAATATTTCCAAAGCTACTTTAGGCAACAACTGCATTCAAAACACACATGGTAATCCAACTCTTAAAAATTTTTGTAGTGTCTCTAATTACCTTCAATCAGTATCTTCAAATACCCCATGTCTCACTATAATCCACTTAAAAATACAAAAATTCTCCGATATTTTTTCACTATCTCCAGCTAGCCATCTGTTTCCTCATTCTGCCATTCTCATTTTTAAAGAAGAAAAGCTGAGGTTGCCTATCTTACACAAATGTCTAATGTTTTCAGAAGTTCATTTGATATAGAGCTATAGTGCGAGGTGCTTCTGCTCTCCTGTTCTTCCTAAACTATAATGAGGTTCCCTATTTTGTCAGCTTCTATATGCTTGTCCCATAAGTTCAGCACTTTAAGGAAATATGCCAAGGAGAATTGCCTCTTACAATACAGGTTAGGCAGATTCCCATGACGACATGCCACAACTAAGCTTGCATGTAAGAGTACTAGCTGAGCAAAACTACATCAGTGGGTATAATTTTCAAGTCCAATAAATAGTCAAGATGGGGAAAGACAATGGCAAATACAAATAAGAGGAGAGGGCTGGGTGCAGTGGCTCATACCTGTAATCCTAGCACTTTGGGAGGCTAAGGTTTGAGGACTGCTTGAGGCCAAGAGTTCACGACCAGCCTGGGGAACATAATAAGACCCCATCTCTACAAAAGAAAAATTTTTTTTGGCCTTGTGGCATGTGCCTGAAGTCTCAGCTGCTCAAGAGGCTGAGGTGGGAAGATTGCTTGAACCCAGAATTTTGAGGCTTCAGTGATCCATGATTGTGCCACTGCACACCAACCTGGGTGACAGCCCTGTCTCAAAAAAAAAAAAAAAAAAAAAGCAGAAAAAAGGAGGAAGAGAAGTGATCAAAGAGTCAGAGTCAAATAGAAGTATATGGCTAATGCAAATAATTACCTTAAATTAAGAATGCATTTCTGCACAAAATCATTCATAAGTTCAAAGTTGTAGCCATTTAAATAATATGAAAAAATCTCTGATTTTAAAATATTTGGTATTTGCAGATGGGAGAAAGCTGGAGAAGTAAGTAGGGAGGTTTGGGAAAAAGCTGGAAAACAAGGACTGCTTGGTGTCAATATTGCAGAGCATCTTGGTGGAATTGGAGGGGATTTGTACTACGCAGCTGTTGTCTGGGAGGAGCAGTAAGTATGGAGAGCTTTAAGGCTGAGTCTTGTTTTGTAAACACACCACTCAACTTTCTGAAATGACCAAAAAAAAAAGTTTTCTAATCTTGGAAGATTGAAAATTCAGTGTAAAATGTAAAGGACTATACCACTCATGCACTCTTATACATTTTTTGAATGTGGGATAATAAGAAAATCCTTTTAAGTTGCTGAAATAGGTGCTATTGAAAATTAAAGACATCTTTTTTTTTCCTGTCAATGCTTATGATTACTTTTTGCCCTTAGAAAAGATATTTGAAAGAGAACAGCAGAGTAGAAAAATGTTTCCATCAAATATACTAGAATTTTAATATATAAGAGCAAATAAAGATTGCAGTTGAAAAATGGGCAAAGAATTTGAAGCAATAATTCATCAAAAAAGAAATGCAAATAAGTTTTTTTTTAATGAGAAAACTTCATCCTTACTAACAAATGCAAATTAAGCTTATCTGGAGGTATCATTTTGAGTATCTATAAAATTAGTGAAAATGAAAAATCCTAATACCCAGGGCTGACAAGATTGCAGTGAAAGTGACACACTATTGGTGGCTTTATAAATTAGAACAATAAATTTTGGGGGGGATTAAAAAGGTGAAAACATATTTAAAAAATATGTTCCTGCTTTTTGACATAGAATGCTACTTTGGGGAATTCATTTTAAGGAAATAATTTACTAGGAAATACAGATGCTGTGTTCAGAAATCATTGTCATGTTAGGTCACAGTCCTCCAAATGTTGAAGCAATCTAAATGTCCAGCAATGGGAGAATGGATAAGTAAATTATGGTACATAAACAACTTGTAATATTTTGCAGCTATTTCAGATTAAAATCTACTAAGAAAAAATAGGATTTTGTTGTGTCATAGAATTTATTTTTAAATTTTAAATTTTTATTTGTGTGTGTATGTGTGTCATAATTTTAAAAGAAAATAGCAAAGTACACAATTCACTCCATGACTCCATGTTTTGTTTTGTTCTGTTTTTCTTTTTTTCTATTTTTTGCTTTTTTATTTTTGTTCTTTTGTTTCTTTGTTTTACCAAGACTCCATCTGATTAGAATATATCCTCATGGCAAAGGCCGTTAGAGGAATACAGTTATTATTCCACTGTGTTAGAGGAATATAACTGCAGGTGATTCATATTTTAAAATATTTTATCTCTCAATTAAATAAGTGTTCATTGAACTCTGTTTAGCACTGTTATTGTGTTGAAACCAGAAATTTTAAAATTAGTAAAAAAAAAAAAAAAAGAGAGAACACAGTCAGAAATGTCATAGGTTTGTGATGAGACAGGCCACTACCAAACAGTTTGACAGGGTCTTTAATACGTTGTTGTTATAATAGTCATTTTTTAATTGCTAGTTTATGCTCTAATTTTTCTTCTTTTTTCATTCTAAGAGCTTACTCAAATTGTTCAGGCCCAGGTTTTAGTGTTCATTCAGGTATTGTCATGTCCTATATTACAAACTATGGCTCAGAAGAACAGATTAAGCACTTTATTCCCCAGATGACTGCAGGCAAATGTATTGGTGCTATAGCAATGACAGAGCTTGGAGCTGGAAGGTAAGTTAATATTTAGTTGACTTTGGATTCTTGGAAGCAGTGCCTTGACATTTTCTTAGTACTTGGTTAATACATAGACTGAGCTATGTGCTAGGAGGAATGCAAAGATGAACACAGGATAATTCATGACCTCAAGTAGGAAAATAACAATAAAGCAGATTATAATGTATGCTATGTTTGGGATATTAACATAGTTTTATGCAAAGAAAATGGCAGTGTGTAAGTCGAATTTTCACCATAATGAATTTTACTTGTAGGGTGAGATTCACATGTAAATGTCAAGCAGTTTGTTACAAAGTTGTACTTGGAATTCTGGAGACAAGGATGGAGTAGCAATAGGTTTTAAAAGTCTTTCATTTATAAGAGTTGATACAATAGGAATGAACAAGATCACGTATTCAGTTATTTGCTGGTTATTTTGTAAATGTCTTCAGTGTGCCAGGTATACAGTAGTGAACAAAACAGATGTGGCCTCTGTGCTTAATGAAGAGAAAGGCAAGAAATAAGCAAGTATATATGTTTGTAATTATAAATTATGATAAGTACTGTGAAGGAAATGTACTGTGCTATAGACTAATGGTATGTTTGTGTTTGGTGGGATATGGAAAAACAAATTTAGATATGAATGCTAACAAAGGCCTATAAAAAGTTGTATTTAAACTGAGGTTTGACAAATGGGAAGGAACCAGTTTTATAAGAATGGGGGAAAGAGCTTCCACAGAGTGGGGACCTGATCCTCAAGAGGAAAAATGAAAGACAAAAAAGGAACAAAGGAGGAAAATCTGGGCATTATGTTTCATTTGGAACTGTACAAAAAATGATGGAGCAAGAGAGACAGAAGGATTGAGAGTTTCAAAGAAATCCAGACACGAATAGGAAGAGAAGTCAGTTGGAAAGGCTGTAGGAAAGGAGAAAGAAGTTAGTAATGTGAAGGCCAGCATGATGTTGAGAATGGAGAAGAGGTTCTGGCAGGCCTGATGATCCTTTGTGATTTCAGTAGGGTGGAGGGGCAGAAGTTACTTTTTATGGGAGTGAGGTGGTGGAGAAAACAGAGGCAGAGGACTCAGAGTCATCTTTCTCAGAGCTGAGTGGTAAACAGAAATGGAAAGAGAGGGCAGTGGTTTGAGGCAAACTGGTAGGGGAAATGATGTATGTTAAAGACAGTAGCAACTTGTGGGTCAACAGAAAGCGAACAGTGCAAAGGAAGAACTTAAAGATGCCAAAGAAGTGGCAAGTGAAAATCCAGGAATTGTTTTTGCAGAGGTCAGGCCCTCCTTTTTTATTGTAAAATTTTCTTTTCTAACAGTGTTATTTATTTTTAAATCTCTTAATATTCTATAGCATGACTTGCAATATGTTTACATTATATTTATCTTTTTAAGATATAAATCCCTAATTTTAGGTCAATACTAACACTTAATTTTGTCAAAGATTAAAGGCTTCTGTTCACTTCTGTTGCCTAAAAGTGTGATCTAAACAAGTAGAAATTTAACCTTCTTCCTTAAAATTTGCTTTTAATTTCATTCTCTAAAATAACTACCTGGCTGACTGCCAATATTCAGATTGAGTTGTATTAGCTCTGTGGTTAGCATGTTCCACTTCCAGCTCATTGCATGTTAGCACTCACAAAGAGGCTATAGAACAAATGAGATCTTGATTTATCTCTAATTTATACATGCAAACAAAGGTTCGTGTGATTTTTGATTTTGGTTTAAAGTCTTTGGCCTTATCTGTGGTTAAGTGTATATAATTAAGAAGGAAATCTAAGAATGAGGATGGAGAAAATAAGCAGATTTCTTTCTTTCTTTCTTTTTTTGTTTGGAAAGTCATTGAAAGTCATGAGAGGATAGTAAATAAGTCAGGTATTTAGAGAGATGAGCAAAGAGTCCATGTGGGTAAGAGAATATAAGAACAGAGAAAAGCCACAGTTGAAGAAGAGTACTAGAGTGTTGAGGAATTATGGAATTATGGTGTAAAATTGGCATGAAATAGGGAAAAACACGTGGGAAGAAAAGAAGATAGAAGATGGAATGTGGTTCATTTTGACTGCCCTCGGAGATGAATTGAGCACTGTCTGTATTTTTGGTTTGATTTGGCCTCCACAGAAAATAAAGGTTGCAATTGCTGAAAAACATCCAGAGTTTCACTGGCCCTTTCCCCTTCCATGGAGGAACGCTTCATTATATATAATTACGTATCTTTGTATGTTGTATTACTTTAGCATTTTATAAATGCTTTCATATTGATTTTATTTTATTATTTTTTAAAGAAATGGAGATGGGGGTCTTGCTATGTTGCCCAGGCTGGTCTCAAACTCCTGGACTCAAGCAATCCTTCTGCCTCAGCCGCTCCAAGTGCTAAGATTATAGGTGTCAGCCACTGCACCTGACCTCATGTTAATTTTATTATATGGCTATTATAATGAGATATATGGAATATAAAGATACGATTTCTATATAAGAAGAAAACAGAAAGTAATAAATGAAGTATTTTGACCAAGTTCATAGAACAAATTGTTGACAGCATTGGAGCCAGAGTGTTCTGACACCAGCTGTGTGATCTTGGGTAAAAATCTCTGAGCTTCAATGTCTCTATCGGTGAAATTGAGATAATGATACTTAAGAAGATTATTGTGAGGGTCTAAACTGTTGGCTTTACTAAGTAGTATACTTTTTCATTTTTAATATTTCATATATAACATTCAAAAACTTAGGAAAAATTTACAAACTGAGCTATGCCATTACCTTTATTTCCTTTGATGTATCCCTGTATAGGAAGATTTTTTTTTTTTTTTTTTGAGATAGAGTCTTGCTGTTGTCACCCAGGCTAAAGTGCCATGGTGCGATCTCGGCTCACTGCAACCTCCACCTCCCACGCTCAAGCTATTCTCCTGCCTCAGCCCCCGAAGTAGCTGGGATTACGAACACCTGCCACCACATCCAGCTAATTTTTGTATTTTTAGTAGAGACAGGGATTCATCAGGTTGGCCAGGCTGGTCTTGAACTCCTGACCTCTGGTGATCCGTCCGCCTCAGCCTCCCAAAGCACTGGGAATACAGATGTGAGCCACCACGCCCAGCCTTAGAAGAATTGTTTTAATAAACTATGTGCAGACATTAGTTAGTGATACTTTATACATACTTATGATGAAAAATACGATGTTAGAATACAATAGTATTCAGGCCAGGCACAGTGGCTCTTGCCTGTAATCCCAGCACTTTGGGAGGCCAAGGTGGTGGATCACCTGAGGTCAGGAGTTCAAGACCACCCTGGCCAACATAGCAAAACTCTGTCTCTACTAAAAATACAAAAATTGGCTGGGTGTGGGTAGTGTGCACCTGTAATCCAGCTACTTGGGAGGCTGAGGCAGGAGAATTGCTTGAACCTGGGAGATGGAGGTTGCAGTGAGCCGAGATCGTGCCACTGCACTTCAACCTCAGTGACAAAGTGAAACTCCATCTCGAAAACAACAACAACAAAAAAGAATACAATAGCATTCAACTTTTGTGTTCACAATCTGCATCCACCCTTTTGATGATAATCAGACTACAGATTGGTTCACATACCTGTGCCATTTAACCTATGTTTCAGATAGGTGGCTCTGTATTATACAGTCTCTTTCTGAAACTTACTGTGATATTTGAAGTGATTAGATGTGTAATGGATAAGCCTTGAATTCGTGTGTTGGGGGGTCCCCAAGACTACCCCCAGGTTCAAATGATTTGCTAAGAGGACTTACAAGACTCAGCATATATTGTACCCATGGCTACAATTTATTATAGTAAAGGATACAAAGCAAAATCAGCCAAGAGAAAGTCTCATGGGCAAAGTCCCTAGAAAGCCAATAGCAGCTTCTAGGAGTTCTCTCCCAATGAGGTCATACAGGACATAATTGCTTCAGCAAGTTGTGACGTGTGAAATGTTGTGTGCCAAGGTGTAGCTCATTAGAGACTTGGTGCCCAAGGATTTTATTGGAGGTCGGTCATATAGGCACCCTCTTCCTGGCATGTACCAAAAGTTCAGATCCCCAGAAGGAAAGCAGGTATTCAGCATAAGCCTCATTGTTTGCACGAACAGTTTATACAGTAAGCCACTTTGATGGGTACTGGGAACGGTGAGAACTCTCCTGAAATCCGGATTCCCAGATGCTAGCCACAGGCAATGTTGCAACAGGCCTTTCTAAGGATAGCACTCTCAGGCCTGCTCTATTAATTCTTTTCTGTATACTTGGCATTTTAATAATATAATTTAACAAATGTTTATTGAGTACCTGTTATGTACAAAGCAGCATGCTAGGCACAGAGCATATAAATATGATCTTGATACGCCACGTGTTTTCAAAAAACTTGAGTCAGATAAGTGCAGTATGTGGGAAAGATAATTGCTTTTTATTATAATTGCAATTGAAAGTAAGTGCTCTAAGAGAGTATATTTGTTGCCTGATGGCATCTGTGACAAATTATCACAGACTTGGTGGCTTCAGACAATAGAAATTTATTCTCTTACAGTTCTGAAGGCTAGAAGTCCAGAATTAGTATCGCTGGACCCAAATCAGGGTATCAGCAGGGTCACACTTCCTCCAGAGGTTATAGGGGAGGATCCACTCCTTTCCTCTTCTATCTCTTAATGTCTGTTTGGCATTCCTTGCCTTGTTGCCTCATCACTGCAGTCTTTGCCTTTGTGGTCACATTGTCTTCTCTTCTGTCTATGAAATCTCTCTTTACCGCTCTCTTATAAGGACATTTCTGATTGCATTTAGCGCGCATCCAGATCATTCGTGATAATCTCTCTATCAGAACATCCTTAAATTAAACACATCTGCAAGACTGTTTTTCCATGTAAGGTAGCACAGCCTCTAGGGTATTGGACCTGATATCTTTGGTATCATTATTCAGCCTAATACAGAGAGTGATTAAAAAAAATGCAACTGGGTGCGGTGGCTCACGACTGTAATCCCAACACTTTGGGAGGCCAAGGTGTGCTGATCACCTGAGGTCAGGAGTTCAAGACCAGCCTGGCCAACATGGTGAAACCACGTCTCTACTAATAACACAAAAAATTAGCCTGGCATGGTGGCCTACGCCTGTAATCCCAGATACTGAGGTGGCTGAGGCAGGAGAATCACTTGAACCAGGGAGGCAGAGGTTGCAGTGAGCCGAGATTGTGCCATTGCACTCCAGCCTGGGCAACAAGAGGGAAACTCGGTCTCAAAAAAAAAAAAAAAATGCCGAGGGACGTAAAATATAAACACCACTGTGTTACTCTGTTTTTGTGTTGCTATAAAAAAAACCCCTGAAACTGGGTAATTTATAAAGAAAAGAGGTTTAAGTGGCTCACAGTTCCACTGGCTATATAGGAAGCATAGCTGGGGAGGCCTCAGGAAACTTACAATCATGGCCGAAGGCATAGGGGAAGCAGACATGTCCTACATGGCCAGAGAAGGAGGAATAGAGAGAAGAGGGATGTGCTACACACTTTTAAACAACCAGATCTCATGATAAGTAACTCACTAACACAAGAACAGCAAGGGGAAAGTCCATCCCTATGATCCAATCACCCCACCAGGCCCCCTCCTCCAACACTGAAGATCACAGTTGAACATGAGATTTGGGTGGGGACACAAAGCCAAACCATATCACCCACATAAAGAAGAATAGGAAAAATTACACAAGTAATGTGGACTATTTATATACTGTGCTGTTTATTGTAGGATATTTAGATTTTGGGACCTAAGCGTTTTAACAATAGGGGATTATTTTTTAAAATTATGGTAAATCCATGATGATGTTCTGTTCAGCTAATAAGTCATTAGATATTGTTAACAGATCAAAATCATATTATATGGTTCCAGTTTTATAAAAATGCATATATATGTATAGTTATATCCATAGGAAAATATTGGAAAGATATACCTTTAAAATGTTCATTCCAGGAGATAAAATTATTTTTAAAATTATTTTTCTCCTTTGGAATGCTCTCTATATTCTTAATATTTTCTTTAGTAATATTTGCTTCTTTTATATTTAGAAAAATAATCTGTTCTACGCTTAGAGCAGGTTTGTTAGAAAAAAAATGGCATTTGAGACATGCTCTTTTTTTTTTTTTTAAGATAAATTCTCACTGTGTTACCCAGACTAGAGTGCAGTGGCATGATCATGCCTCACTGCAGCTTCAACTTCCCAGGCCCAAGTGATCCTCTCACTTCAGCCTCCCAAATAGCTGAGACCACAGGCATGTGCCACCACACCCAACTAATTTTTTAACTTTTTATAGAGATAGAGTCTAGCTTTGTTTCCCAGGCTGGTCTCAAACTCCTGGGCTCAAGCAGTCCTCCCCCTTCAGTCTCCCAAGGTGCTGGGATTATAAGCATGAGCTACCACGCCCTGCCTAATAGCTAAATTTTAGATCAATAGAGATAGGGGAAGGAACCAAGGTGTTTAAAGGCAGCAAAGTACATGGTGACACGTAATCTCAGGGATACAGTGAGGTTTGAAATGTTATGTGAGTCTCATTGGGGTCTTGAATGTCAGTTGGGTTTCGTTATACTACTGTATAAAATCTGGCTAGTTTATATAATAAATCTTAATCATATATTCATTTGTGTAAGTGCTTTAGAATATAATAGATCAGCATGGTTTTTCAGTGCAATTGTGTGAACATTCTTAATATTCAGCAATTTTATAATGGTGTAACCAGTTTGAATAATCGAATTTACATACATACTTATATAATTTACATAATTCAATTTTTATCATTTGATGAATTGTTTATCCTTTCTTTCGATTACAGTGACTTACAAGGAATAAAAACAAATGCTAAAAAGGATGGAAGTGACTGGATTCTCAATGGAAGCAAGGTGTGTAGAGAGGGACTTCTATAGCCTTTCTTTTCAGAGTCATGCCGTGGGTAACAATGTCTCAGAGACAACTCATTAATTCTGTTAAATCTAGGGACTCATGCAGGAATTGAATTTACCTAAGCTGTTTTGGAGACAGCAAATTTACAATAAATATTACTTAAGATCTGTGGTAGCTTCTTCTATGTTTCATTTTGCATGCCCCCTCACTAATATGGCAAAGGTTGTTTTAGCTTCCAAACAGCCCTTATCAAACCAGAAAAAGACAAGGTGAGACTCACATTGCTCAAATGTGGGACAAATATTAATAATAGTTAAACTTTATGTTGATAAAAGATTGGGGAAAAAGCTTTCTCATGTAGATCAAGAAGAATTTCAAAAGATTCTAGGAGAAGGACAGGCACAGTGGCTCACACCTGTAATCCCAGCACTTTGGGAGGCTGAAGCAAGAGATTGCTTGAGCCCAGAAGTTTGAGACCAGCCTAGGCAGCAAAGTGAGACCCTGTCTCTACAAAAGTAAAAATTAAAAAAATTAGCTGGGCATGGTGGTGTGCCCTTTGGTCCCAGTTTCTCACTCAGGAGGCTGAAGAGGGAGAATCACTTGAGCCAAGGAGGTTGACATAGAGTAAGACCCCCCTCAAAGAAAAAAAAAGATCCTAGGAGAAAAAGATATCAGTGATACAGTGATAGAATTTGAGAACCATTCAGTTCTACTAAATCAAACAACTCACTGATAGAATTGGAGAGTGCTTCCAATTAAGGTTACAGATGGGCTCAGGATCCCTGATATCAATGAGGGCAAATGCATTTGGTATCACCGAGGGCAAGTGATATTACCCACCTAAAATAGTATCTGGTATATACTCAGTAAATATTTGTTGTTGACTGAGTGTTACGTGAAGGAAAGATGATCATTTTATTTATGGTTATAAAACAGTCTTTCCGAAAATATGTGCCAAGGTCTGTTGAAGAATTAGTTTTTATATGTTTGTTTGGGCTAATAGCTCTGTATTTACAAAACTGAATCATTGGTGTTCTTCAAATATACTTTAATAAATATTTGTCTAAATAATTTATCCTAAGGATTATAATTAAACAGATGATAGCTCCAATATATAATCAGTTAACTCCTCGCATACAGAAGGCTTGTTTTGAAAGAGAGTAGGATATTTGGTTCGAAGTGAAAGGGGAACCACATTCTCTTATACCTTTAGCTCTCTAAGCAGGCCTCATCTGCTCAGCCATAGTGTTTTGTGGGAACCACACAGGAAAAGTACCATTGACTCTGTTTCAAAAACTCTATTAGAAAAAACAAAAAATTGAAAGCAAGTAAAAGTAAAGGAATGGGTAAGCAAATACAGTGCATCTGAACGAATGTGCAGCCATTAACATTAGCACCACAAAGTTTTTAACGGTACAGGAAATAATTATACATTAAGTGAAAAAACAGGAGATAGAATGCAAGTACAGAAACATTTTTACTATATTAAAATTAAAAAGATGAGAAAGGAAATTATGAATGATAGTTGTATTATATACTTATGGAGGATTATATTTTCCCTTTTCTTTAGAATTTTACATTCTCTATATAATATCTGCAATGAGTTTCTGTTATTTTATAAGCATTTAATATCCTCCCACCACCCCAAAATGTTGACCCTCATTAGAGGTAATTTCAGCCCTATTCAAACTTTTGAGTGTCATAGTTAGAAAACAAACTGAGAAAATCCACTGGCAAGGAAAATTCTCATATAACTCTGTTAGAAAGGGGGATCCATCATGGTGTTAAAATTCACATTAGGTCACACTGTTGTAGAAATGGTTCAGATTTTATTGATCCTTTGCTGTAATTACTTCCAATAAGACCTTCTGGAGAACTCCACTTGATTTACCAAATTGAGCTCAGCGTATTAAAATGAATAGTTTTTGCCCAATGAATTGCTCCTCCCTTCCTTTCCATTCCATTGTTTATTTATTATCTGTAATTAAAACGTGTATGAGACCACTTTAGAGCATATTGTAGATACTAATTCCTGGATGCTGTGTGATGCAAAACAAACAAAAAGCACTCATAGCATTTCAACTGTGGCAGCTACACAGATACTAGGAACTACACAGAAAGGTAGGAACTTGGTAGACTTTTAAGATTTTTGAGCAAGGGAGTGGTGTAATCGAGCAATACTGTTGAAAAAATATTTTTGCCAAGATGTATAGAAATTTTTTTGAGAAACATCTTTTTCAAAATATATTTTTAAAACATCCTTTGGCCTCATCTGTGCCAAAAAGAATGCTAAGCACTTAAGATAGATATATGAATAGGAAATGGCTAGGAGCTCCTAGTAAGGAGGCATGTTGATGATCTTTTATTATTGTGTCACCTATAACCATACTGCCACCACTATCTTCATTTGCTGTTGTGTAGACAACACTAACGTTATTTGCCCATTTTTCATTATTTGTATGTTTCAGTGCTGTGCATTTTAGGTGATGGGAGTAACCAACATCATTTTATACCCCTACTATTTCAAAGGGAGAGAGATTAAAAACAGATCATTTTGGTAAATTTGAGGTGTTGTAGGAATGCTTAACCCAGCCTGGAGAATTTGAGACCTTTTGGCCAGTCTGATGTCTAAACCGTCCAGGATGAGTACAATTCATTGTAGCAGAGTTGGGAAAGGGCCTTTCCCAAGTAGCAGAAACAAGATTTTCAAAGACTCAAAGGTCAGGAAGATCTCGCAATGTGATGGACAGCAAATAATTTAGTAGCTGACTGGAGAACAGGAAATTGGGGAGAGTGGGACAAGCAATAAGGCAGGTAAGGAGAGGTAAGCTAGTGCCAGTTTGTGATAAGTTTTCTATTTCCTGCTAAGGGTTTTGAATTTACCCTGAAGCCTATTAGGAGCTATTCAAAAATGTTTAAGTGTGAAGGCAATATGATCAGATTGCATTTAGAAAATTCTCTCTGACATCATGATGAATGATACAGCTGTAGAGAGATCAGTTGTAGGAACTTAAGAAATGATGAGGGCTGGAAATAAGGTAATTACAATAGAATTGAAAGGAAGTGAATAAATTCCAAAAGTATTAAGATGGGTTAGAAAAAACTAGATGCTGAATGGAATAAGAAGCAGGATGACAGTGTAATCTATTGAAGCATTCATTGAGATAGAGAAATAGGTTGATAATCAGGATTAGATAGGAGTAGGGGTGGGAAGGAGTATGTCCCACCCATGAGTCATCAAGTGGAACTGTTCAGAAGCAAGTACATATTCAGGTCCAGGTCCTATCAAGAAATGTGGCTTACCAGGAGTTCGAGGCTGCAATGAGCTATGATCACACCACTGCACGCCAGCCTGGGTGAGAGAGACCCTGTCTCTAAAAAAAAAAGAAAGGAAACATGGCATAGATAAATATTTGGAGTCATCAGCATGTAGAGGGTGACTCAAGCCATGAAAATGATTGAGATGAACCAGGAAAGAGGCAGAATGAGAAGATAATTATTAATATTTGCTTGGAGTATATTTTGTTTTCTGAATCAATATCATCTGATAATCCCTCTCATTTGCTTGTCATTTTTCCCTCCTTAATCATAGTTTCCTATTTAGGCCATTTTAAAGGAAGCAGGATATCAATTACAAAAATCAAAAATAGTCCTTTTCAAAAACTGATATATCTGAGAATAAATAATATAGCGCCATTTACAGCAGATTTTCTTTCCTTTTCTTTTTCTTTTCTTTTCTTTTTTTTTCTAGAGACAGGATCTCACTCTGTCACCCAGTTTGGCGTGCAGTGGTACAATCATAACTCACTGCAACCTCAAACTCCTAGGCTCAAGCGATCCTCCTGCCTCAGCTTCCTAAGTAGCTTGAACTATATATAGGTGCACACTACCATATCAGCTAATTTTTAATTTTTTTGTCTCTGCTATTTTGGCAAGGCTGGTCATAACTCCTGAGCACAAATGATCCTCTTGCCTCAGCCTCCCAAAGTGCTGGGCTTCCAGGTGTGAGCCAGCAGGTCCCGCCAGATTTTCTTTTCTTACCAGTGTCTTCCTTCTAAAATACAATTTATCATCATAATAGACAATTTGGTTTCATTTTTAAAGAACATAATAATCTCTGCTTATTATTATTGTGTATAATATTAATAGTGAAAAGAAAATCTATAGGTTTCATTCTTTGAAGCATTAAGTAATTTTTCCCCGATCCTTGATAACATCATGTGTGAATAATCAACTCTGCAGGTATTTGGGTAGGGTACTGAGAGACATACCGAGCATGCCTTGTCTGTTTTAGTTTTCTGGAATGTGCTTTCTCCCAATAATAACTTGCACATAGACTTGAATTATCATGGTGCATTACTAGTGTACTTGGGGTTTTACAGGTGTTCATCAGTAATGGGTGGTTAAGTGATGTTGTGATTGTAGTTGCGGTCACAAATCATGAAGCTCCCTCCCCTGCCCGTGGTATTAGCCTTTTTCTGGTGGAAAATGGAATGAAAGGATTTATCAAGGGACGAAAGCTACATAAAATGGGATTAAAAGCACAGGTGAGTGATAATGTAAATCATATTCAGATACTAATTGAGTTTACTATTAATCAGATAGGAGACTTATAAAGAGGATTACATGTGGCACAATTTTATTTCCTATGCTGAATTCCTAAAATACGCTTTTCTGATGTGGTAATGAGATTTATTCCCATTTATACCTCTCTATCTCTTTCTGATGGTCAGCAATAGAAATGAATCAAGGTATTTTGAATATCTGCTTTTAGAAATGGCAGAATTAACTGCATGGTAACAAGCCATCTATTTGTAAAATGTATTAAAGAAAAATATGAAGTAAAAATAGAAAGTGTGGCCAGGCACGGTGGCTCACACCTGTAATCTGAGCACTTTGGGAGGCTGAGGCCAGTGGATCACCTGAGGTCAGGAGTTCGAGACCAGCCTGGACAACATGGTGAAACCCTGTCTCTACTAATAATAAAAAAATTAGCCGGGTGTGGTGGCAGGCGCCTGTAGTCCCAGCTACTCTGGAGGCTGAGGCAGGAGAATCACTTGAACCCAGGAGGTGGAGGTTGCGGTGAGCCGAGATCACGCCACTGCACTTCAGCCTGGGCGACAGAGTAAGGCTCCCTCTCAAAAAAAAATTAAAAATAAAACAAACAAAAAAACAGAAAATGTTCTTTCTATACATTACCAAAAACATATTTTTTGCTTAATATGTATTAGAAATCCTTAGTTCCAAGTACCTTGAGAACTGGACAATATTAGAGCAGGAATGATAGTGTGTTGCAGTAGGAAAGCCACAAGTTTTGGAATCAGATGGCTGTGAGTTCAAATCCCTGGTTTATCACTTACTAGTTATGTTCATTAACCACTCCAACTTGGCTTCCAATTTGTTTTTTGTTTTTTAGGAAAAAATAATATTCACTCCAATATTCACTGGGTTATTGGAAGATTTAAATGAGATCACGCTCTACATTTTTTGTATGGTCTTTTAGGATACTGCAGAACTATTCTTTGAAGATGTACGGTTGCCAGCTAGTGCCCTACTTGGAGAAGAGAATAAAGGCTTCTATTACATCATGAAAGAGCTTCCACAGGTCAGAAGTGTTTAAAGATTCCATCTTTTGACTAAATAATGAATTGGAATAGAATAATATAGAAACATGCTATTTCTATATTATGCATGCAGATTTATACATGCAAAACTTGTGAAATAGCTAATCATTTGAGTATTAAAGTTGTAATAAAAGTATGAGTTTTATAGGGTAGGTAAGTAAATAACTGAACTCAGTAATATCCAATCAAAGGTTATAAAGTGAGTAGGAAAAGCTGGGTGCGGTGACTCATGCTTGTAATCCCAGCACTTTGGGAGGCCAAGGTAGGCAGATCACAAGGTCAGGAGATCGAGACCATCCTGGCTAACACAGTGAAACCCCGTCTCTACTAAAAACACAAAAAAATTAGCTGGGCGTGGTGGCGGGCGCCTGTAGTCCCAGCTACTCGGGAGGCTGAGGCAGGAGAATGGCGGGAACCCGGGAGGCGGAGCTTGCAATGAGCTGAGATCCCGCCACTGCACTCCAGCCTGGATGTCAGAGCGAGACTCCATCTCAAAAAAAAAAAAGTGAGTAGGAAAAACAGATATTTCAGTTCTGTGATTCCTTCTTAGAATGATTTTAGCTTCTTAACTACAATTCAAAAACTTAGCTCTTTGTAAGGAAATGTCATGTAAAACATTTGATAGTTTGCCAGTTTTTAAATAACAACTGTGAATCAAAGGGAAAAGTGTAAAATTCAGACTGAAAAGTTTTAGCCACATAGGGTCAGTCCCTAAACAGCTATGGTTCTAAAGTATGGTTGACAAGTGATTATTGAGCCTCAGATGCCAGTGTAAGGGGGTACTCCTGCCTAGTGACTACCATGAAAATCACCAGCATGATGGATTTAAACTAAGACTACTTTTACATTAATAGGTAGAATTTAACTTATGTGCTGTAAGATGTTTATTTCCACAGATATATTGAGTCATACAGTGTGCAGAGATTAATAACTTGAAATAAGCAACTAGGGATTGTTTTTAACTCATATGTGAGTAAAGAGAAGAAAAAATTAAATAAATTGCATATATATAATGAAGACAGTCATTCGTGGGCATGGTGTTATGCGCTTGTTATCCCAGCTACTTGGGAGGCTGAGATGGGAGGATCACTTGAGCCCAGGAATTACAGGATGTAGTGAACTGTGATTGTGCAACTGTACTCCATTTTTAGTAACAGAGTGAGACTTCGTCCCTTAAAAAATTAAAAAGATTTAAAAAAAATAAAAGCAGTCATTCATAAAAATAAAGGATTTGCTTTAGAAAGTGACAAGAGGTATGTCAAAAGAATCTCATAAATCTGTTTTCTTATAAAGAGTTAAGACATAAATTAATCTTTATGAGTTTATTATAAAGTTAATTTATAGGATTTATCGTAATTGAAATTGTGTGAAAATCACTTGCATAATTAGAGTAATGTTTAAGACCTAATTTTTGTGTTATAGGAAAGGCTGTTAATTGCTGATATGGCAGTTTCAGCTAGTGAGTTCATGTTTGAAGAAACCAGGAACTATGTTAAACAAAGAAAAGCTTTTGGCAAAACAGTTGCCCACCTACAGGTAAGCTTGTCACTGTGGTTTAGTATTAGATGATATCAACTTACTCATCTGAAATGGCCTGGGGTAAACAGAAGTTTGGGGTTATTTTCATGTAAGGTGATATTAGAAACCATGGAAGTGGATGAGATCATTAAGGGAGAGATAGTAGAGAGTAAGACAGGAAGTGGTCTTAGGACACAGTCCTTGAGGAAGACTACAAGATTTAAAGGTAGAATTCATATGTGGAATTCATATTGTCTGATTAGGAGCAGCCTGTAAGATGACTGATAATGAATGAACAGTTAGAAAGGAGAAAGCAAATTAGGAGAACTTTGTCACAGAAGCTGGAAGGAAAGAGCATTTCATGGAGTAGGGAGTGGGATCAAATGCTGCTTAGGGGAAAAATAAGATGAAGAGCAAAGAGTGCTCATTGAATACAATGATATGGAGATTATTTAGTAAGAGCCATTAATGGACATGGAGGGTGACAGACCCAAGTGAGTAGACAGAAATGAGGAAGTGAAACAATACTGATGGTGAGCAGCTCTTTCTTGAGTTTGGCTGTGAATGGTAGTTGAGTGAAAGGGTGGTGCGGGAAGAGGGGAGGGGAAGGAGATTTGAGAGTCAAGGGAGATATTTGGGAGTTATTAATTTTTTGTCGTTATTTTTAGGATGGGGATGTGGGTGCATAGTTTGATACCTACATATAAAGAAAAGATTTAATAAACGGGGAAAGGTTGTAGATAGGAAGGAAATAATCAACTGCATAAGGTCTTGGAGAAAGGGTGAGTTTGTGGATGCGGACACATGGAAAGATAGGCCTTCCCATCAACAGGAGAGGGATTCCTTCATTTGCACAGGAAGAAAGGAGCAAAGGACATCTATGAGTTCAGACAGATACATCACTCTGTTGGTAGAAAACTGCAAAAGTTATTTATAGAAGACTTCTCTTTCTTTAAATAACGTGGCCAGGCACAGTGACTCACACCTGTAATCTCAGCACTTTGGGAAGCTGAGGCAGGCAGGATCACTTGAGGTCAGGAGTTTGAGACCAGCCTGGCCAACATGGTGAAACCCTGTCTCTGCTAAAACTACAAAAATTAGCCAGACATGGTGGTGCACGCCTCTAATCCCAGCTACTTGGGAGGCTGAGGCAGGAGAATCACTTGAACCCGGGAGGTGGAGGTTGTGGTGAGCCGAGATCGCACCACTGCACTCCATCCAGCCTGGGCTACAGAGCAAGACTCCATCTCAAAAATAAACAAACAAACAAATAAATAAATAAATAACAATAGGGAAAGTTAGTCCTTGAAAGACAGGTGAGTGAAGGAGGCATGGAGGTGTTGGAGAAGGGTGAGGGAGGTACGAAATACCTTCTTCAGAATGAGAAATTGAACTTTCTGCTTTTTGTGTATCAATCAGCTTTATGATAAGAGTTTAGCTTCCCAGGTACAAACATAGAGAAAAGACAGATGATTGTGTTTACCTAGGGTTAAGTTTCCCCAGGAACTTGAGGGTTTTTGCAAAAGAACTCAGTATATGGTGGCCACAGTCACTAAATATGCTAATTAAATTTTAGACCCTATAGTTTCTTTTTAAATGAAGGAATAGTTTATAATGCCTTCATGCGGTCATCAAATTGGTGAAACATTTCACCAGCAAAAAACCTGGAGTTAGGATTTGACTTAAAAATTTTTCAGTAGAATGACTGGCTGAAAGGCTTTGTGAAGGGAAAGGTAGAAATGAAACAACTTGGTGGCTTTTCAGGACCAGCATTCTAGAAATTATGTTCAAGTGTGGTTTATGTCCTAACCCAGCTACTTGAATCTCTGTAGTCTAGGCATGTTCTCTCTCTCAAAAATAGTTTCCTATTTGTAAATTTATAAAATGTGTTTGATTTGCAAAATTGTGAAACCTTATGACTATAAATCTTTAAAATTTATAACGTTTGTAAATATTTATAAAATATTTCCCTATTTGTGAATATCAGAGATTGCCTCATAGCGTTGTTGTGAGGATTATGTTGTAGAAAAAAACTGAGTTCTTGTCACATGACCGGGATAATTTAGGCACGCAGACACATTGTAGGTTGACTAGGGCAGGATTTCTTAAATGAAAATGAAAAAGGAACTCTCAGCAAAGCGAGACAAAGTCTTGCTAGCAGGTCTCCCACCTTTCAGATTGAATCCTAGGTCAGCACACAAGAACAAGAGAGGCGAGGCTCCTCTCCTCTGCAAGCGGTGTGAACTTCCCGAGGCTCCACCCCATCCTCCCGGTGCACAGGCATTATTCAGAAAGGATCAGTTGGGAAAGGGCAGCCTTCATCTGGGACCAGCAGTCGGGGTTTTCAGCCTTTAGGCTGTTTAGGCTTGAAGGCAGGGTTTTGCCAGAGACCCTGGGCTGTCACCTGTCTCTATCAGTTAGATAGGGTAATATACATAAAGCGTTTGGAATATTGCTTGGCAAAGTAAGCCCTCATTAAAAATTAGCTGTTACCCTTATTTTATTTCTTACATAATGCCTTGCTCCATTTTGTTTCAATATGGGAGAACTTTTTATCATCTACTTCCTCTTGTTCTTGATCTAGACCCTCTCTGTGTCATTTTGGGAACTATTTGCTACCTGTATTGTCATCAAATTAACTTTTTTCATCCTGAAAAAAAGTATTTACATCCTAACTTTTCTTATTGACATAACAAACCTAAAACAGTTGTTCTGAATCTATAAAAATGAGGTACACACTCAATCAAGAAAACATTTAACAAAACAATATGACTTAACTTGCCTAAATTGTGATTTCCTTAAGAGCAAGGATGTTATACTTTATATTCCCTTTCCTTTATGGATCACTGATTTACACGTATCAGTGGTTCTCAGTGCATGCCCTTTCCTCCAGGTGTTTAGAAGTGTCAGGAATGGGGTAGGGGTGGGTGTGCACAGTTGGCTGGAGGTATAACTTGTATAGTGCCCTGGAGGACAGTGTTGTTCAATGTCCTATAATGCACATTTGGATTACAACTAATTGCGTCACTCAAAATATCAATAATTTCCCATTGGGAAACACTGACATATATCATTTATTCCTTTTTGCCTCACTGAACAAATATATATTGATTGCCTCCTAAGGTAATGTGTTCAACTGTAATTTGATGGATGTGACTCTCAAAACACATACTACACTCCTGGCAATATGAAGGAAGTGTTACCACTTGATATCACTCTGATTTTCTCAACTGTCCCCAAAGTGGAATGAGTATCATTTGCTTCTGATATCCAACCACCACCACTTAAACATCAAATGTTTACTAAAACACTTATACCAAGGCCAGCATGTTGGGAGGCCTAGGCAGGCAGATTGCTTGAACCCAGGATTTTGATACCAGCCTAGGCAACATGGCAAAACCTCATCTCTACAAAAGATACAAAAATTAACCAGGTGTGGTGGCGTGTGCCTGTAGTCCCAGCTACTCAGGAGGCTAAGGTGGGAGGATCGCTTGAGCCCTGGAGTCAGAGGTTGCAGTGAGCTGAGATTGCACCATTGTACTCTAGCCTGAGTAACATAGCAAGACCCTGTCTCCCTGCTACCCACGAAAACAAATACAAAAACAAAAATATACCTTTAACCTTATTTTGGCTTCATACTACATGACAAGGATGACTATAATATTACCCAGATTGCCTGAATGACTCAGAAAGCATGTAATTTGACATTTAACCATGAAGAAAATAGAAAAGTTGTCCATATTGTTTGTTATAGAGGAAAAAGATTCTTTTAAAATATACATTTATTGTATTTTAATAGCAAAAAATAAATAATTTTAATCATTCCTTTTTAAAGAAGTGTCATTTTATTGTTGCCTTCTTTCAAAGTTAGTTCCCTAAACTTTCAGTAGGTGGCAGTAGCATTCTGCTTCCACAGGTCACATTGATAGCTAGTAGTATTGTTTTCCAAGTAAGAGAAATTCCAAAGAGAATTCTGAGATTTCTGAGATATGTCTTCTGATCTTCCTATTTTATCTAAATAAATATATTTGAATAATATTTTCATATTTCAAGCTAGGAATATATTCAGAGACGATGAATAACCAATACTGTACATAGCTATACCTTGTATTCGAGAGCTGGTTACACTATGGTTCTAGTTATTCAATTGAAATAGAAGAGCTTTAAATGTTACAATATACTTGGCGACATGTCATTTTATAACTATATAACTATTCAGTTTCCATTCTCTTTGTTATCCTTGAATTTTGAACGTTTTGGGGCTTTCTGACCAGTTGAAATGCATGTCACAAAACTTATTTTCTTTTTAGAATAGAAACCTACCATATGGATGTAGCAATAATTATTGGGCTTTTTAAAATCTATACTCTCCATAGTTTATGTCAATCTTATGATTTTTCATGGAATAGACAATAAAATAGTAAAATCCAGATGTTAAATAGTAATAATGGATATTATGGCTTGACTGCTCCCTATCTGCCAGACACTGCTAAGTGAATTGCCTCATTCTTTTTCTTCACAAATCTATATCATAAGTACTTTAATTATTTTTATTTTACATTTAAGGAAATTGAGGTATAGAGAGGTTAAGTAACTTGCCCCAAATTACACATATATTCTAATTCCAGAACCTACACGCTTCACTTATATACTGTTATTACTGCCCAGAAGTGCAAAGCAGATGAGCCTTTTTTCTATTGCTATTTCCTTCACTCAGTGGACAATGAAGTGAAAATGGAATGTTTTTTCTAATCTAATGAGAGCTCTTGGTTAGTCATTTCCTATGTGGTATGTGTTCTTAATTCTAAGGGCATAAAGAATTAGGCAAAGGAATAGAGAGGAAAAAAATAATAATACTTCTCCTTCACATGTCTCTAAAATGGGAATATCCAGTTCTTAAGACCTTGACCATGGGATTAATTAACTATCAAATAGCAAACCTAGTGTGTTTTATTTTATATTTTAAGCATAATATATTAGAGCAACTGCTGCTGCTGTTTAAGGGAGTACTGGGCTAGATAACCATTCCAAGGTGTTTTCCAGTTCTGTAATTCTATGATTCTAAGAATTCTGTCATTCAGAACTCTGAAAAAGACTCTATCCAGCCCACCCAGTAACTTCATAATAATTTTTTAATGCTAACTGCAGTATTATTTATTAACAAATATAAATGACTTAAAAATACTGCTATGAGCTTGTCGATCATTCACAAAGAGTACTTAGCTAATAATGTGTGGTCCAATTTTTAGTGCCTTTGATTAGAGGATGATTTCAGAAAGCATAATGAAGTGTCTGCAGTGAAAAACAAAGACCAAATCTGTTTAGTAATGCTCAACCCAATGGCAAGAATACGTATTTCAAGTTTTTATCCCCACAGAGTAAATTATATACTCTTGGAGACATTATTCTCAGACCTCTGAACTTCACTGAATGCACTGATGCAAGAATTCTAAATCATTCTATTCTGGTTTGAAGTTTTACTTCAGCTTCTAGAAGTTTCCAGCATTTACATTTACAAAGGAACAACTCTTGTATGAGAGAATCAGGCTTAGATATCTTTACTCTTTCATATTGTAAAGACAGTGCATAAATTCCCAAATGTGGCATCACGTAGGCAAAAAAAAAATCTTAAGATTTGTTGGATCCACCCTTATTTTCCAAATAGAGTGTCATACATAGTGTCATTGAACTAAACTAGGAGTAGACTTAGAAACCATCTTCAGGGATTTTCATGGAATACTCATCTGTTTTTGATATATAGTTTATTTCCCTATTTTTTTTCTTTTTTTTTTTTTTTTGTTCCATCTTTAGATTGTCTATGAGTAAACTGGAGTGTATGGGCTGGCAGTGGGAAACTTTGTGCTGATTAAAGGGTAGATATTTGACCTAATTAAATATATAATGAATAGAAGTGGAGATAGAAAAAGTAAGGGAAACAACAAGAGGGGAAGAAAGTTTTCATGTGGCCCAGCATGTTCAGAATTAGAGGCCAGAATACAGAGATGGAAGGAGTGGGGTGCCAGTCTTCTCACTGCTTAGTTTTGGAATCATTCAATGCCAGTTACATTCTCTGTTTCTAGAACAGGGTAAAATAAAACCAAGGGAAAGACAGTCAGTTGGAGTTTTCATCAGCACAGTAGTTATGTTGATATACCTGTAAGGAATCTGCCCCTCACAGCTTCTACTCCACCTGATACACCCTGGTCTTGGTTGGTCCTGGGTCTTTTTACACTCCCATTCTACTCTTTTCCAGAAATGGTTAAGTATCAAAACTGTCCCAACCAACAATGACACTGAAAAAATCAGTTGTATAATTTTAGAACTGTTGTAGCCAGCATTAAAAGCAGACCCTGCATCTTCTGAGAATCTGGCCCACCACCCTCCTTTGAGAACACAGCTGTGGCTTTGGACTTGACAGTGTGTGTTTAACTTCTAGTTTGAGTTTCACTGCACCACCTTTGCCGGTAACTTTCCATGTGTATGCTTTCTATAAGCCACAGTGAAGTTCTTACTCATTTCACAGCAGAATGATCAGAACTCTGTTTCTATCTGTATTTTCACAAAGAAGATAGGGCCAGCTGACCATATCGGGGCCTGGGACCTAAGAAATAAACTAGAATGGGGTATACTTTTGGAGGCTACCCAAAGTGGGAACCCAGTATTTCAAGTTCAAGCCAATTTCCTGAGGAAAGCTCAAGAGTCAGTGCCAGAGAGAACAGATATAAACTCCAAGTTCAGTGTGAGATCCTAGAGTCAGGAATGAAATAAAACTTGATTGAAGCAAGGACAGTCAGGAACAATTGACAATGGTCTAAATAGAATGCTTTCCAAAAATGCTAATGGGTTGTCCATGGCCAGCAGGAGGAGGTAGGTACATAGCTGTATTAACATTGATAATCCCAGACCATTCAGTCCAAGCTAGAGACTGCTAAACAAGCTATTGGGAAGTATGGGAGGTGTATTTATCCATTTTCATACTGCTATGAAGAAATACCTGAGACTGGGTAATTTATTTTTTTTAAAAAAGGAGGGTGTTTAAAAGACTCACAGTTCCACATAGTTGGGGAGGCCTCATAATCATGGTGGAAGGTGAAGGAAGAACAACAGCACATCTTACATGATGGCAGGCAAAAGAGTGTGTGCAGGGGAACTGCTCTTTATAAAACCATCAGATCTCATGAGACTTACTATCACAAAAACAGCATGGGACAAACCCGCCCCCATGATTCAATTATCTCCCACCAGGTCCCTCCTACAACATGTGGGGATTATGGGAGCTAAAATTCAAGATGAGATTTGGGTGGGGACACAGCCAAACCATATCAAGAGGGATCATGTGAAGGGATGAAAGAGGATGAAGGTACTGGACTTTGATCTCTTTAGTGCTCTGATTTTATTATATTGCTTTCTACAGATCTAGATTAAATACCGTGCAATATTAAATAATACCTTATAAATATTTTGATGTGTTTATGAACATATATAGAACCCCCTTATCCCTCCAGATGTTAGAAGCAGAGCAGGAAAATCTGTATACTTAATTTCATTAATAAAGAAAAATCTTCAAGGATTTAGTCTCTGGAGGAAAATACAATAGGTGTTTTTGACAGCTGTACCTAAATAACTGTACCACAAGACGGTGCTCACACATTAAAGTAATGCTGTTTTTCAAGAAGTTTGCCTCATCTAAATTTTAGAATCTGAAACAAGACATTTATGTTTTAAACTATTTTTGCATCTTTTAGTACAAATTTCCTTAGCACTGAAATACAGTGGGTTTTAAATTTAGCTGATTTGCTAACAAATGCCCTCTTTATGGAGGAAAAAAACAACAATTCCACTTTTGTTTGCCCTAAAGATCTTTTATTGTATAATTTCTGATATGTTAAGTGGGTTAAAGTTTATATTTCTTACTTTGGGAGGCCGAGGCGGGTGGATCACAAGGTCAGGAGATCAAGACCATCCTGGCTAACATGGTGAAACTCCGTCTCTACTAAAAATACAAAAAAAAATTTAGCTGAGCGTGGTGGCGGGCACCTGTAGTCCCAGCTAAATGGGAGGCTGAGGCAGGGGAATGACGTCAACCCAGAAGGCGGAGCTTGCAGTGAGCCGAGATCGCGCCACTGCACTCCAGCCTGGGCAACAGAGCAAGACTCCATCTCAAAAAAAAAAAAAAAAAAGTTTATATTTCTACCAGGCTCACTTTTTTCTTTTATTTACTTTAAATTCAAGACAGTGCAACATAAATTAGCAGAATTAAAAACACATATATGTGTAACCAGAGCATTTGTGGACAACTGTCTCCAGCTGCATGAAGCGAAACGTTTGGACTCTGCCACTGCTTGCATGGCGAAATACTGGTATGTATGCTGCAGTAACTAGAGTGTGGTGTGTGCTCAGACTGTTATGGAATTCTGCCAATTTTAAGCTCAACCTTGAGGGTCTTAAAGAAGGAAATCTGTGAAATGAAAAATAAAAGTAAGACTCAAAAAGAAAATGCTAAAAAGTTCCATTAAGCATACATATAATGTGCTAAAAATGATTCAAGTTGGTATTTAATTTTTTTATCCTAATAGGCAAGCAAAGTTAGTATTTAATTATTAACTTGCTATTGAAAATAAAATATTAAGAGTGGGATAATGAAGAGTGATATTGATAGGATGACGAATTCGTTCATTCAAGTAATAGTTTAATTTCAAATTATCTGAAGAGCGACAGTATAGTGAGGCTGAAAGGGAACGGTAAAACTTAGGAGTCTTGAGATCGAGTCCCAATTCTTTTATTAAATAACTATAATAAACTTAATTCCATCCAGGAAAATGTTTTTATCATCTGTGAAATGGCTAAGTTGGACACGATTTTTCTATTTAAGGTGCTTTCCAAATGTAAGAAAAAAATCACGAAGAACTGGCTGTCCAATCAAAGTTTCACAGGCTGTATTAAGTGAAAGGAAAATAAAAATCCTGTTAAGTTTAGAAAGACTTCGGTTTGAATTAAAGATTATTAGCGATGGTGTTAAAGATGAGTTGATTGAAAAAACATCCCTGTATGTCAGACTTTTGTATATTTTAAGATTTTGGAATATACGGTCTAAATCAGATTCTGGAAGTAGATTTGGTTTCCTCTTTTTAAAAACAAACATTCTCACATATCATTAGCCCAAGAGTAACCTAGAATAAATTCCTGTCATTATTCATTAACTTGTGTTCAGTTCAGTCACAAGTAGAACAGGGGAAATATTTTGTGCTTTATGTAATGATCCCATAATAATAAAATTGCCAGATTGAAAAGTAGTGTGGAATTACTTTTCAGAAACTTGCACTTTTGAGGAGACTTTTTATATTTACATTTACAACAAGTTCTTTGACTAGTGGCAAAAAGTGTAAAAAAAATTTACATATTTTTGGAAAAAGAAGTTCAGATAGCCATTGACCTTGTTATTTGAAAACCTCAGGTTTATACACATGCTGGTATTTCACATTGAAGCACAGGAGGCAGCTAGTTATAGCCCAGTAAATATTTCACTAAAATACTTGCCAAACACAAAAAAACTATCAAATTCCAACTATTATTGTCCCCAAAGTCTTGTCTATTAATAATTATATTGTTAATATATTGCATAGAAATATCCTCACCTGTCGTATGGTTTGAGTTTAAAATTATTGTAAATTTTAAAAAGTATATATCTTTATTTTTGCTTTATGCTTCCCACTATTGAAAAATAAGTAGTGGGGTGCTGTACCTTGCCACTGTAGTAACTCCTACTGGAGAAGGTGAGGTGAGAGGATCCTTTGAGCCCAGGAGTTCAAGACTGTAGTGAGCTATGATTGTGCCACTGTACCCCAACCTGGGCCATAGAGTGAGTGAGACTCCATCACTAAAACAAACACACAAACAAACAAAAGAAAGAAAAGACAAGTAGAAAAAAATTTGGAACTAACATATTTTTATGTTAAGGTGAGTAAAATCTCTATTATGAATTTTAATGATAGAATTGTGATATTATCAGAAAAGAATGTTTCTTAAGCACTGCATGTTTATATATACAAACAATATATATATTACTAATATACACACTTCAGGAATAATAATCTCTATATAATTTTCTAATGTTTCCTATATGATCGCATACACTTTGTTAGTGTGCCCTCTCAGGTTTTCACTGTTATCTTCAATTTATTTCTGAAAAGTCAGAACCCTAAAAAATTGCTTTTTTATACTGAAATTCAGAATCATGATCTTCAAGTAGAAAGTGACATCATTGGAGAAAAAATGCATATTACAAGGGCAAAAAGAACTAGGTGGCTGAGTAATTTAGATCATATAGAGAATCCAAATAAATTAGAACATATTCAAGTTTTTACTGTATCTTTTTCTAGCCTGAAATAGCCAAAACCTAATCATCTGAGCTTTCTACCTTTTGTTTCTAGGCTAGCAAAAACCTAGCAAGAAATATAATTGATGAAAAAGGTATTCTTATATGAAAAGTCTCTTGAAATTTATTTCATGTGTAATTTTTATCATCTTCTTTGCTTGGCTAATATGCCGTTCTAACCGCTTAATACATGTGCACATTTCAACAATTGTAAATAACTAATTTTCTGGTTTTGAAGCACCTCATGAAAATCCATTTCAAACATTTCTTTTCTGCCTTTTATTTTGGTCATTTAGGGCATCTGAGTTACAAAATAGTGTAGCTTATGACTGTGTACAGCTCCATGGAGGTTGGGGATACATGTGGGAGTACCCAATTGCCAAGTAAGTACAGTTTTTTGATATACTCCTCTTTATGATGTGAAGAAAAAGGAAAATTTCTTTACTTTGTACATCAAATGTAGAGCGAAAGGAGGTGTGCAATCTTTTGAATTTTTCAGCTGAATACAGACAAAATGTATTCAAGCAAATGGAAACAGCTTTTTAAAAATTTTTTATCAACTCCCTACTAGGATTTTATCTTTCTTAAAGTAAAGAGACCAATATACAAAAGCTTGATCCTTGGCTTTATTTGAATCATTATGTAGAAGGACAAATAGTATTTTCAAACATTTTTTTAATTTTTAATTTTTAATTTTATTTTATTTTGTGACAGTCTCACTCTGTCACCAGGTTGGAGTACAGTGGCATGATCTGGACTCACTGCAACATCTGCCTTCCAAGTTCAAATAATTCTTGTGCCTCAGTCTCCAGAGTAGCTGGAATTAACAAGTGCGTGCCATGACACCTGGCTAATTTTTTTGTAGTTTTGGTAGAGGTGTGGTTTTGCCATGTTGGCCAGGCTGGTCTCAAATCCCTGGCCTCAAGTAATCCACCTGCCTTGGCCTCCCAAAGTGCTGGGATTACAGGCGTGAGCCACTGTGTCTGGCCAAATACTACATTTTTTTTAAAACTGAAAAAAAAAAAAAAAAGCAATACAGAAAATTTAACTGTCATATGAAAAGGATCTAAGTTGTCACATATCTTAAATATCTGATTATTTGTTTTGTTCTAAAAAATAAATTTAAAATCTTTATTTTTTCTAAATAGATTTTTTATTTCCTTCAAATTGAAAAAATCAAATATATCTTTTTATCATATATGAATATTCTTATCAGTTTGAAGCAGTACTAATTTATAAATAGGCAGTGTCCTCATCCATATTTTTTCCTCAATCTCCAGAATTTCCTTTTCTCTTAACATAGTATTTCACCTCAGAAGTCTCCCCATAGCTTTTCTCCTTATCACCCTAGAAAATATATTTTTCTTATTATTTAGCAATGATTTTGGTTTAGAAAAATTTTCCCAAGGAAATTTTTGGTTTATACAGAAAAGTACAATTTGTTCTGAATCTGAGAGTAAGAATGCTATATATAGGCTTCTAAAAACGTTTTAAGATTTTTATCTTAATATAAAGTATCTAGAGGAAAAAATTATGAAACCCACATTCAAACTGGCAGCCTAATGATTTCAAATTTATCTTTTTGGCAAGTATAATTGGAAACATTTAATATGCTTATAGTCCTTAGTGAGAAAAAATATTTTACTAAAATTACATTAAGAGCAGAAGCTATGTAGTGGCTCAATGTTTGTGTGGTTTAGTTCACATTTAAGAAAGGCCTATTAGGTGGGGAGAAGGCAATCATCTAAATGGTTTAAGATTAGAGTATGGCATAAGCCTTGATCTCTGTTTTCTCCGAATCAACTCCTTCAAGTTGGTACCAAGCAAACATTGTAGCTTGATGGCTTATTTGAAATCTCTGGTTTTAGTTTGAGAGACTTATATTCCCTTTAAGAAACAATAATCACCTTTCTTGGCCAGTTTGTTCAAAGATTGTATGAATTTTTAAACTAGACTTCTATTTCTCTTCCCGTGTATCGCCTAATATCAAAAAGGCCACTTAGGCCAGGCGCGGTGGCTCACTCCTGCTATCCTAGCACTTTGGGAGGCCAAGGCGGGTGGATCACCTGAGGTCAGGAGTTCAATACCAGCCTGGGCAACATGGCAAAACACCATTTCTACTAAAAATACAAAAAAAATAGCTAGGCGTGGTTGCGGGCGCCTGTAGTCCCAGCTACTCCAGAGGCACAAGAATTGCTTGAACCTGGGAGGCGGAGGTTGCAGTGAGTCGAGATTGTACCACTGCACTCCAGCCTGGGCGACAGAGTGAGACTCTGTCTCAAAAAAACAAATCAACAAAACAAAAAAAGCCACGTAGACACAGTAGGCAATATGTGGATGTAATGTAGAGACTTTGCCTTGATTAAAAAAAGTTATTCTAATTGTGTTTCTTATATCCCCCAGACTAAACTGCATTAGTTTATATATATGTTGCTGAGTATTGGTTTCATAGATAAGAGGTGCTTTCTCTGCTTTTTTATTTTGTTTTTTGTTTTTGTCTTTTTAAATAACTGGTCTTCAGCATGTGGGTTTATTTAAGTCTTACTCATTAGACTCGAGGCTGTGAGGAGTGAGATTTAAGCTTTGCCATTTAAAGATTTCTCTGCCATGCTAGGAAGAGCAACCTTAGATGTAGAACTTCATTGCAGTGTGGTTAAACATTTCTGCTGCTGCCTTTCACTGTTAATTTTAGTTGATGACTAAATTTAATTAGTAACATATCAAAGGTCTACTAATCTCTGCTTTATCTACTCCATTGGAACTTCTTTAATGTAAAAAGAAGCCTAGCCCATTTAAAAATATATATATATCTCTAAATGCAGTGCGATTGCTGAAGTAGGTTTACAGTAGGTAAGTGCTCAAAATGCAGGTGCTAGATTTTGTAGAGAATAGCAAAATCTGTTCAGAAAAAAAGTTTGAAAATATAAATATCTCAAGCTTTTAACGTTTTCAGCCAAAAGTTCTGAGATTCTAAATTTCCTTTGTAATACAGTAAATCATATCAGTAAATATTTACTAAGTGCCCATTTCTTTGTAAGGAACCCTGATGAATATGGAGAAGAATAAGTCCAAAAATGGTATGTTCCTAGAGAGCTGGCACATTTAATTTGTCTTAAAAATCAAATTTAAACAAAACAAAACACCAAGATTATACTTGAGAAAAAAAAGAAAAAAGAAAAAAAGCCTTTGAGTGGGTCTACTAGGAAAGTCCAAAGTTCAATAACTAGCTCTAAGTGCTTTGGCCAATGAAAGTGTTGCGATATACAAAAAAAAATATTTGAAAAAGAGGCAGAATAGCTACATCCTCATTCCAGTCTGCCAATGATGTGTTGTTAGTGACCATTAAACAGCAACCATTAATTAGGAAATGTATTAACTTCTCTCTACCTTAGTTCCTTTACCAGGAAAACAGTACTAACATTTATCCCTCCCCAATCCCAGAGCTGAGAGGATAAAATGAGATGAGAAAAGACAAAAACAACTGCACAGTGGCATGGTCGTTATCATGACTATCAAAAGTGAACTTCTGATGATATTTGGTTTTTTGTTTTTTTTTTTCGGGGGGTGGGTGGGTATGGCAATGGACTCAGCCACTTTGTATTTTAACTCCACACATCACTGAAGTGACTATTAACCATTTCCAAAAAACAAGTTACTTGTTAACTTTCTGGGAAATAATATTTGCTAAAGCATCAGTTTATATTCCTAATAGTGATAGTGGTTGTGGGAATGCTAGAAAATATGAATCTTTTTTTCTTTCGTTTTCTATAAAACCAGTGGATTTCAACTTTTTTAGGAAATGTTAAAGATAAAAAGAAACTAAGACATTCTGTCCTTTTCCTAATCTAAAACAGACTTTTTAAGAGTGTTATCATATGTGCTGAATTTTACAAAATTAAATCAGCTGATATATACTTACTATTTTTATTTTGAATTTGTAATCTCTTTAATCAAATTAATACAAAGCTATACATACTATTAACGTCTTAATAGTTTTTTTTTTTACTATTACTCCAATGTAGGATGAATGCCATATTGAAAAAATTAGTAATTTGTGAAGGACTTTTATTGTTTGTACTTCATTAAATTAATAGTTTAAGAGTTACCTGGTAAGACAAAATTTACAGTTTCTAAAATGTTTTATTTATTCAATCATCTTCTGATTTATCCAGAGCTTATGTAGATGCCAGAGTTCAGCCAATCTATGGTGGTACAAATGAAATAATGAAGGAGCTGATTGCAAGAGAGATTGTCTTTGACAAGTAGACATCTGCCCACATTCTGGAATCCTATTACAGCTAATCTGGTTTTAAATCTGCTCAAGATAAAATGTAACTTGGAAGCGAGGAACACTAAACATGTTTTTACCTGCTCTCTCTGTAGAGAAGGAAATAAAATATAAATATAAAATTAACACAGTGGAAGGACAAATCTTTGAAGCCAAAATTCTAGTTTTCCAATATAAGGTTTAACTTACAGTTTTTTATGTAGCCAAAGGTAAAAGATTTTCTGAATCTAGATGCCTAGGTGTTTCATTTATCTCTAAAATTCTAAAAAGCATAAATTGTTCAAATCTTCAAACTGAGGCAGAAATAATTTTATGTCGTTATAATATGAAAACATTAATAAGATAGCACATTGACTTTTAAAGGGAAAAGTAAATATACTTAGAATGTAAACTCATTTTGGCTACCATTTGCTCCAAATTCCCTAGAACAGTGGTTTTTACCACTGTACTCCAACCCCCTGTTTTTAAGCAATGGAACTCTTTCTTCAAACAAAAGCTTATGCAGAACATCTCTGTGAAAAGCAGTGAGAACTGCTTTGATTGAAGCCGGAAGCCGTAATACCTTACTGCCTTGAAACCCCCAGGACTCAGCTAAGTATTTGCCTAACCCTGACCAGGGAATGCCTTGGTTCTGTCAATTGCTGACACCTGATAACACAGAATAATCCATCATTCTTTAATTTCAAGATATTGGTACATTTTATAGGTATCAAAGCAATGGCTTTTTTGCAACAGTTAATGTGTTTAGTAACTTAATGATTACTTTATGTCTTCTATAAACCAGGCTGTTAATACAGTGATGACAAACAAAACTGGCAAGATCACTAAAAAATAAGTGAATAAACAAATAAGTAGTAAAATAAGATAAGAAGTAAATATGTAAAGGAAATAATTTCAAGCATAAGTGCAATGTAAATAATTAAGCATTTAAAATTCAAAAGTGAGGAAATGACATTTGATTTGAGACTTAAAAGTAATTACAAAAAATAAACCATTAATTTAAAGTAGTTTTAAAATGGAAATAGATGTATTCTTACTCAACTTAGAACACAAACATTTTGTTTGGTATTGTTGATATTAAACATTGTTTTTTAATACAACCATTACAGCTGGAAAGAGGAGAGGGAAGAAAAAATATTTTGATACCATTCTTTTTTTTAATTTTTTTTTTATACTTTTTTTTTTTTTAAAGATGGAGTCTCGCTTTATCATCCAGGCTGGAGTGCAATGGTGTGATCTCTGCTCACAGCAACCTCCGCCTCCTAGGTTCAAGCGATTCTCCTGCCTCAGCCTCCTGAGTAGCTGGGATTGCAGGCACATACCACCACACCTGGCTAATTTCTGTATTTTTACTAGAGACGGGGTTTTACCACGTTGGTCAGGCTGGTCTTGAACTCCTGGCCTCATGTTCTGCCTGCCTCAGCCTTCCAAAGTGCTGTGATTACAGGTGTGAGCTACCACACCTGGCCTTTTTATTATACTTTAAGCTCTGGGATATATGTGCAGAACATGCAGGTTTGTTACATAGGTATACACACGCCATGGTGGTTTCCTGCACCCATCAACCTGTCATCTACATTAGGTATTTCTCCTAATGCTGTCCCTCCCCTACCCACCTGTCTTCCACAGGTCCTGGTGGGTGATGTTCCCCTCCCTGTGTCCATGTGTTCTCATTTTTCAGCTGCCACTTATGAATGAGAACATGCAGTGTTTGGTTTTCTGTTCCTGTGTTAGTTTGCTGAGAATGATGGTTTCCAGCTTCATCCATATCCCTGCAAAGGACATGAACGCATCCTTTTTTATGGCTGCATAGTATTCCATGGTGTATATGTGCCACATTTTCTTTATCCAGTCTATCATTGATGGGCATTTGGGTTGGTTCCAAGTCTTTGCTATTGTGAACAGTGCTGCAATAAACATATGTGTGCATGTGTCTTTATAGTAGAGTGATTTATAATCCTTTGGGTATATACCCAGTAATGAGATTGCTGGGTCAAATGGTATTTCTGGTTCTAGATCCTTGAGGAATCGCCACACTATCTTCCACAATGGTTGAACTAATTTCCACCCCCACCAACAGTGTAAAAGTGTTCCTATTTCTTGACATCCTCTCCAGCATCTATTGTTTTCTGACTTTTTAATGATTGGCATTCTAACTGGCATGAGATGGTATCTTATTGTGGTTTAGATTTGCATTTCTCTAATGACCAGTAATGATGAGCTTTTTTTCATATGTTCGTTGGCCACATAAATGTCTTCTTTTGAGAAGTGTCTCTTCATCTCCTTCACCCACTTTTTGTTGGAGTTGTTTTTTTCTTCTAAATTTGTTTAAGTTCCTTGTATACTCTGGATATTAGCCCTTTGTCAGATGGATAGATTGCAAAAATGTTCTCCCATTCTGTTGGTTGCCTGTTCACACTGATGATAGTTTCTTTTGCTGTGCAGAAGCTCTTTAGTTTAATTATATCCCATTTGTCAACTTTGGCTTTGTTGCAATTGGTTTTGGTGTTTTAGTCACGAAATCTTGGCCCATGCCTATATCCTGAATGGTATTGCCTAGGTTTTCTTCTAGGGTTTTTATGGTTTTTAGGTCTTACATTTAAGTCTTTAATCCATCTTGAGTTAATTTTTGTATAAGGTATAAGGAGGGGGTCCAGTTTCAATTTTCTGCATATGGCTAGCCAGTTTTCCCAACACTATTTATTAAATAGGGAATCATTTCCCCATTGCTTGTTTTTGTCAGGTTTGTCAAAGATCAGATGGTTGTAGATGTGTGGTGTTATTTCTGAGGCCTCTGTTCTGTTCCATTGGTCTATATATCTGTATATCCATTTTGGTACCAGTACCATTTTGGTTCCTGTAGCCTTGTAGTATAGTTTGAAGTCAGGTAGCATGATGCCTCTAGCTTTGTTCTTTTTGCTTAAGATTTTCTTGGCTATGTGGTCTCTTTTTTGGTTCCATATGAAATTTAAAGTAGTTTTTTCTAATTCTGTGAAGAAAGTCAATGGTAGCTTGATGGGAATAGCATTGAATCTATAAATTACTTTGGGCACTATAGCCATTTTCACTATATTGATTCTTCCTATCCATGATCATGTAATGTTTTTCCATTTGTTTGTGTCCTCTCTGATTTCCTTGAGCAGCAGTTTGTAGTTCTCCTTGAAGAGGTCCTTCACATCCCTTGTAAGCTGGATTCCTAGGTATTTTATTCTCTTTGTAGCAACTGTGAATGGGAGTTCACTCATGATTTGGCTGTTTGTCTGTTACTGGTCTATAAGAATGCTTGTGGTTTTTGCACATTGATTTTGTATCCTGAGACTTTGCTGAAGTTACTTATCAGCTTAAGGAGATTTTTGGCTGAGATGATGGGGTTTTCCAAATATACAACCATGTCATCCGCGAACAGAGACAATCTGACTTCCTCTCTTACTGTTTGAATACCTGTATTTCTTTCTCTTGCCTGACTGCCCGGGCCAGAACTTCCAATACTATGTTGAATAGGAGTGGTGAGAGAGGGCATCCTTGTCTTGTGCTGGTTTTCAAAGGGAGTGCTTCCAGTTTTTGCCCATTCAGTATGATATTGGCTATGGGTTTGTCATAAATAGCTCCTATTATTTTGAGATACATTCCATCAATACCTAGTTTATTGTGAAGGGGTGCTGATTTTTATTGGAGGCCTTTTCTGCATCTATTGAGATAATCATGTGGTTTTTGTCATTGGTTCTGTTTATGTGATGGGTTAAGTTTATTCATTTGTGTATGTTGAACCAGCCTTGCATTCCAGGGATGAAGTCAACTTGATCATGGTGGATAAACTTTTCAGTGTGCTGCTGGATATGGTTTGCCGGTATTTTATTGAGGATTTTTGCATCGATGTTCATCAGGGATATTGGCCTGAAATTTTCTTTCTTTTTTCTTTTGTTGTTGTGTCTCTGCCAGGTTTTGGTATCAGGGTGATGCTGGCCTCATGAAATGAGTTAGAGAGGAGTCCCTCTTTTTTTATTGTTTGAGATAGTTTCAGAAGGAATGGTACCAGCTCCTCTTTGTACCTCTGACAGAAGATGGCTATGGATCCATCTGGTCCTGGGCTTTTTTTGGTTGGTAAGCTATTAATTCCTGCCTCAATTTCAGAGCCTGTTATTGGTCTATTCAGGGATTGGACTTCTTCCTTGTTTAGTCTTGGGAGGGTGTATGTGTCCAGGAATTTATCTATTCTAGATTTTCTAATTTATTTGTGTAGAGGTGTTTATGGTATTCTCTGGTAGTAGTTTGTATTTTTGTGGAATCAGTGGTGATATCTGCTTTATCAGTTTTTTATTGTGTCTTTTTTATTCTTCTCTCATTTCTTCTTTATTAGTCTGACTATAGGTCTATCTATTTTGTTAATCTTTTCAAAAAACCAGCCTCTGGATTCATTGATTTTTTGAAGGCTTTTTCATGTTTCTAACTCCTTCAGTTCTGCTCTGATCTTAGATATTTCTTGTCTTCTGGTAGCTTTTGAATTTGTTTGCTCTTGCTGTTCTAGTTCCTTTAATTGTGATGTTAGGGTGGTGATTTTAGATCTTGCCTGCTTTCTTCTGTGGGCATTTAGTGCTATTAGTTTCCCTCTAAATACTGCTTTAGCTGAGTCCCAGAGATTCTGGTATGTTTTCTCTTTGTTCTCATTCATTTCAAAGAACTTCTTGATTTCTGCCTTAATTTCGTTATTTACCCAGTAGTCATTCAGGAGTAGGTGGTGTTCAGTATCCATGTAGTTGTGCAGTTTTGAGTGAGTTTCTTAATCCTGAGTTCTAATTTGATTGTACTGTGGTCTGAGAGACTGTTTGTTGTGGTTTCTGTTGTTTTGCATTTGCTGAGGAGTGTTTTACGTCCAATTATGTGGTCAATTTCAGAATAAGTGCAATGTGGTGCTGAGAAGAATGTATATTCTGTTGATTTGGGGTGGAGAGTTCTGTAGATGTCTATTAGGCTCACTTGGTTCACAGCTGAGTTCAAATCCTGAATATCTTCTTAATTTTCTGTCTCATTGATCTAATATTGACAGTGGGGTGTTAAAGTCTCCCACTATTATTGTGTGGGAGTCTAAGTCTCTTTGTAGGCCTCTAGGAACTTTCTTTATGAATCTGGGTGCTTCTGTATTGGGTGCATATATATTTAGGATAGTTAGCGTTTCTTGCTGCATTGATCCCTGTAATGCCCTTCTTTGTCTTTTTGATCTTTGTTGGTTTAAAATCTGTTTTAGAGAGACTAGGATTGCAACCCCTGCTTTTTTTGGCTCTCCATTTGCTTGGTAGATATTCTTCCATCCCTTTATTTTGAGCCTATGTGTGTTTTGCACATGAGATAGGTCTCCTGAATACAGTACACCAATGGGTCTTGACTGTTTATCCAATTTGCCAATCTGTATCTTTTAACTGGGGCATTTAGGCCATTTACATTTAAGGTTAATATTGTTATGTCTGAATTTGATCCTGTCATTATGAGGCTAGCTGTTTATTTTGCCTGTTAGTTGATACATTTTCTTCATAGTGTCGATGGTCTTAATAATTTGGTACATTTTTGTAGTGGCTGGTACTGGTTTTTCCTTTCCATATTTAGTGCTTCCTTCAGGAGCTCTTGTAATGCAGGCCTGGTGGTGACAAAATCTCTCAGCATTTGCTTGTCGGTAAAGGATTTTATTTCTCCTTTGTTTATGAAGCTTAGTTTGACTGGATATGAAATTCTGGGTGGAAAATTCTTTTCTTTAAAAATGTTGAATTGAATACTGGATTTTGAATATTGGCCCTCATTCTCTTCTGGCTTGTAGCATTTCTGCAGAGAGATCTGCTGTTAATCTGATGGGCTTCCCTTTGTGGGTAAACCGACCTTTCTCTATGGCTGCCCTTAACATTTTTTCATTCATTTCAACCTTGATGATTCTGATGATTATGTGTCTTGGGG